CTTCGAGGCTGCAAGACGAGCGTTTCGTACGAGACTTCCTCCAAAAGTCATGCTTCGAGGCTGCAAGACGAGCGTTTCGTACGAGACTTCCTCCAAAAGCCACGTGTCAAGTCTCCAAAACGCGCGTTTCGTACGAGACTTCCTCCAAAGCTCACATGTCAAAGTCTGCAAAACGAGCATTTCGTACGAGACTTCCTCCAAAAGTCAAGCGGAAACACCCATCGGAGCACAGACATCACGCAGCCCTGCCAAGCAGTTTCGCGAGTCCAGCCCCTCCAAACAATACCCGCTCACACGCCAATCCCAATGTGACAGCGACATTCACCTCTACCACAACTCACGACCTCACGATTCCCTGCGCCTGCCATGCATCTTTCCGCGTCCACGCGTCTAACGCGCACAAAGTACTGCGCCTGCCACGAAATGTCACCTCCGTCACACCTCGCAACCTCACGCTTCCCTGCGCCTGCCACGAAAATCGCACTTAAGGCAAAATAATTTCATTTCAACTTTTTTTAAAAAAAAAACAACTTTTTTTGAAGATAATAAACCATGCCACCACGGTGCACATTGGTCAAAGTTATCATCAACTCTGGGTCTTGGTCCTTTCGGCTCAAGCAAAAAGCTACCCAGCTGGAGCGCAAGTTGGCCCAAATGGCCCCAAAGCAACGGGGATCCTCCAGGTCAACCTCGCGACCAAGATATGTTTGGGTGCCCAAATTTGGCTCGGTGCCAGAAGAGTCAGAGCAAGACCAGAATCCTACCCAAACTTGGGCGGATCCCTGGTTGACTGATGGTCCTACCCAATCCTGGGCGGACTCATGTCCCTGGCCGGATTCAAGCGATAATCCTAGCCAGGAAAAGAACCCAGCGGGATCTAGCCAAGATGCCCCAGGGACTGAGGCTCCGCCATGGTCAGGCCCAGGGCCAGAGCCAAGCAAGTCGAATCACAACGATGTGATGCAGGGTGGGCCTCCAATGGAATGCCCTATTTGTAAGAAAATTGTGAAAGGAGGTCGCTGGCAGCTGCGGTCGCACCAGCTAACCTCGTCTTTTTGCTTGGCTGCCTCAGGGCGTGCTCCCCACGCCCGCGAGCCATGCGAGCATTGCGGGAGAATGATAGCAGCCGACGACAGTTGGGCGAAAGAGCAGCATTCACGGAAATGCCCAGGCCAGTCAGGCCCTGCCGCACGAAACAGGCCACAGAGAGGTCGGTCGGAACCACCTGATAGGCAGTGGTGGGGCCAACCTGAGCCTGGACCTGGGCCTTCTCCTCCTAGCGCCGAGAGATGGCGCCGGAGGCAGAGATCACAAAGTAGGCCCCGCGAACGTCCAAGCAGCAGATCCGCAAGTCGTAGGCGCCAAGCGGCAGAGCCCAATTAGGACGACTCGGCTACCTACTTCTACCGGAATCCCTGGGAAATGGATTACGTGGGAGACGGCGAGGCAGATGATTTCAGTGCTTGGCTAGATGGTGGGAGTACTGGCGGAGCGCCTAGCACCACAGGTGCCGGCGGCCAAGTGCCACAAGCCCAAAATCAGAATGAGTCATCGCATCAAGTTGGCAATCCTCATGCTCCAGCTGCAAAGCCAACATGGTCATGGCGTGAGAGCTCAGGGCACTACCATGACCAGAGCCATGATTGGGCAACCAGTAGTGAGTCATGGCAAGACAATCCAGCATGGCAGGGGCGCCAGTGGACTTGGAGTGACACTGACTGGCACCATGACCGGCACGGCGACTGGAGTCAAAATTCTTGGCGTGGGTCTGACAGTCACGACCACTACCAAGAAAATTATGGGCCATGGGACAGTCAAAATTCTTGGCGTGGGTCTGATAGTCAGGACCACTACCAAGACCATCATTGGCAATGGGACACCACCAACCGAGCATCTGAATCTTACGGCGGCTGATTCACGCAGCCAGCCCGGCCACCGATAAGTGGCCTTCATGGTGGCGGGTAAAACTCCATACCCTACCACCTCAGATTGAAGCGCAACCCAGAACCCTACCACCTCTGGGGTGGCGGGTGTCTCAGGAAGCCGAGGACAGGACCAGGGCATTTTTTGGAGCACAAGCTCCAACGCTTACCCTCACAGCCCGGAAAAAAAAAACTGAAATTGAACGCGCGTGATGCCCGCAAAATTGCCAGCCCCATATGGCCCACTATTGAAGAGATTCCAACATCCCCCAGTCAATTCCCACCCCGCGTTGGTTAATTAAAATCTCCTGGTTCATGTTCCAGTTTGAAGTCCATGTCTCCCCACTATGACCCTTCTAAAGAATGAGACCCATGCATAGGTAAACCAAGAGCCGACTGGGCATGCCAAGCAACTGCATGCATGTGATTGGTGTTATGGTCTCGCGTGTTTAAGATCAAACCCTGAAATGAACCAGATATAAGATATAAAGTACCAAGTTGCTCAATGACATCAAACACCATGTCACACACACCAACATGCACGTGGCTGATGGGTCCAAGAAGGCGCCAAGCGCCACCACTCACCATCGAGACACCGGGCCATGAACCATGGACTCAGTTTCTTTGCCATCCGACAACTCGGACGCAGAGTTACTGCTATCAGACGTGGAGTCAGTGGCTGGCGAGGAGACAACCGAAAGTTGTTGTAAAGCAGGATGCCTGGCAGCCATTAATGAGTCCCAAGCATTTGCATTTCACACATCAGAGCTTCAAACCGCTTTGACTGCAGGAAGCAAAGCCCAAAAAGAAATGCTCCAATTCAATTGTCTGAAGCATTGGGGCCAGGACTCAGGCCCTGAAGAGACAGTAAAAGGCCCAGGTTGGCGCAAATTCAAATTCTTGGGCTTGCCATTGTGCGTTACAGCAGCCTGCCAGATTTTGAAGCTACCAATCTGGAAATTCAAGTCCTTGACCAAACAGATCAAAGATGGCAAAATGTTGCCGGACCAATCTTTAAAGCAATCTCAGATCCAAAAAGAAAAATTTGCAACCGATAAAGCCAATGTCTTGTTGTCATGGCTTCACCAGAACGTTGCGGAAAATTTGGCAGAATCCAACAGGGTAAATGATGACAACAAGGCAGATAATCTGACCCTTCAGCGACAAGCAGCAAGAAGCGCTGGACTGACCTTGGCAAGGGATCCCCGACCTGTGCATTCCAGCAACAATGAATTGTTTCAGAATATGGTAGAAGAGAGTCAACAAGTCAAATGGTTGCCACCAGGTACAACCCTCACTGAGATGAGAGACCTGGCGCAGACCTTTGTGCCTGATAGCTCAGTGTCTTATTCTACATTTATTTCTTGTTACCAGGCCTCATGGGCAAGCAAACTGAAGGTCAGGGCCGAAGGGCAGCATTCTAAATGCACC